CCCGCCCGAAAAAAAAAAAGGCCCGGGCCGGCCCCGCGCGGCCTCGTCGTCATCTTCCACGGCCGGCCGAGGAGGCGGCCCGAGCCGGGGCTTCCCGCCCTCCAGGCCGGCTCCGTCAAGGCCGAAGCACCGCCCTCCGTTGAGTCGCCTCCTCCGAGGACCGGCTGCGCGGACCGGCCGCCTGGGTTTTCCCGGTCCTCTCCTTCTCTCTCTCTCTCACACACACACACACACACGGGGTGTCATGGAAGAGCCGCCGGTCGGGAGCCTCAACTTCGACACGGGCTGGTCCTTGTCGGCTCCGGAGCTGGAGGAAAGAGCCCCGCTCCTCTCGCCCTGGGCGGCCCCGGGCAGGGTGCGTGTCGGGTGTACGTGGGAATGGAGGGCCTGGGTCGGGAAGCGGGAGAAAGGGTTGGTCGGCCGGGCTTGTGTCTGAGGCCTCCTGGAAGGGTGGGTGGTTAGGTCGGAAAGGCTCCCCCCCCCAAGAGCCTCTCACACCGCCTTGGCCCCGCTGGGTGGTCAAGGAAGGCGAGTCAAAGGTGGGGAGTGAAGCCTTGGGGGTGAAAGAGAGAGAACCAGGGGTATGGCCTCCACCCACTTTCCCCTTCTTTATCCCACACGGGTGGACCCCCAGATGTGGTGAAAAACGCGGTGGGTTCCAGGGTTAAGAGTCAGGAGACCTGGGTTCAAATCCTTGGCTTGGTCATGGAGGAGGCGTGTCACACCTGTCACACACCTTGAAAACGCAACTGGAGTTGCCCCAAAGCTGAAGGGGCTTTCCGGCTCCTAGCAGCAGTCGATGTGATACTACAAACCCCATCATCCTTTGCCACTGGCTTTGCTCCAGTTCCCAACCCAGCAGTATCTGGAAGGCCATGTAATTCCCTGGCCTACTTGGAAAGATTTCACTGGTGTGTAGGCAGGAGTTGCCTCACCCACAACAGCCCTATAAGGTAGGTTAGGTGGAATGAGAGCGACCCCCAAGACATCCGAGGAGCTCCAGTGAGGGTTGAAGCCATGCCTCTTAAGTGCCTTCCCAATCATTATGTATTATTAACACGGGAAGTATTAATTAACATGGGAAGTATTAACACATTGTGTATTAACACAGAATGAGTGCAAATACCCTGGCTGTGTATTCTAAGAGTCCCTCTGCACACCCACTTGGGATTATACAGCCCAGCAAAATCCGCACACAGTGCCCCTTCTTAAGCAGTATTTCGTCCTGGAATTATACAGCTGTTCCACAGTTCTTACAGCCCCATAGAAAACATATCCTTTCCTATTGCTGTAGAAGCACACACTACGTACCCATGAAACTTTACAACGTTATGAAATCATGTGGGATCCAACAATTCCCTGATCTCCTCGTAAATATCAGAACCCCACAGAATTAATGAAATGGACACATGCAGTATTGAATGAAGTCTCCTATCGTAGCCATGTTTGTGGTCCCATGCAATGGGCATAAATGCATTTCTCCAACAAACCTGTATTATTTATAGCAGAAGCATGCTACAAATAGTCACACATCCCTGGAAAAGAGGGCACTGTTATCACCCATGGGTCCTGTAAAGAAATACAGTAGTTATTTCCAAAATCATATTGCTCAGCTCATTAACATCTCTATGACAAGCACTCCAAAAGAACGCTTTAATTATACAGAGATGGGTTCCCTTTCTAGAGGTATGCCTGGATTTATTTATTTTTTTAAATCCTTATGGTGCTGTGAATTTTCTAACAATGCAAATTTTTCAGTTCTACTGAACAACTTTTTTGGCTCCCCCTTTTTTGTTTTCTTTGTCTTTTTATGAGTTTTACTTCCTTTGTGTGAAATCATCCAAAACTGCTGTTGGTCAGCCTTCATCCTCAAAATATTTGGAATGTAGATGTAACTTCTAATGTCTTAGAGTCTAGTAATCGTTTTTAAAGCAACCTTTATGTGTCAAACACATGTGTCTACTGCAGTTAAAAGTCTGTTAAATGGGTTTTTATTCTGTTGTTGCTTTGGACTTTTATGATTGTTTTTTCTTCAGATGAAGTGTTTGTATTGTAACTTTTTTATGTTTCAATATTTACAGGGATCTTTAAGTCATGTATCATCTGGTAGTTCCTTTGGCTTCTCAGTATTTAATTTAATGAATGCAATCATGGGCAGCGGGATACTTGGATTGGCATATGCTATGGCCAAGACAGGAATCATTGGGTTTAGGTATGTTTCCACTGTCAATAATATTTTATGTAAATAATGAGAAGCTACATAGCTTTTTTTCTCTCTAAGCCTCCGCATTAATACTATATAAAACTGGGCAAGAGGATGGCAATTACACAGAAAAATTTCAGCACTTCTCCTGAAACTTCAAGAGCTACTGGCAGCTAATGTGGGTGGCTGTACTATTAAGGTAGATGTACCAGAGGTCTTGTAAATCTAGGAGCCATTGTGGTTTAATTTTATCCATCTCTACCCAGATTCTAGCCATGAAAAGACTGTTTATAGGAAGAGGCCCTGGGAAATTTTGGAATATATCTAGGTTCAGGATTGAGTGTACTAGTACAGCACCATGTTGCTTTTGCTGTTTTTATTTACAGTATTTGTAGATCATTGTATTTGCGTGTTGGAAATTGCAGCTACAGATTCCCCTTGCTTATGCCAAGTTGAAACAGAAATAAAATTCAGGGATGATGGGAGGATCCCTCAGCCGGAGTGTGATTACAGTTTTTTTTTTCCTACCCATCAAACCATTTTTCTCCATTGGCAAATAAAGAAATAGCAAATTAAAAGGGTCAGCTAAAACTTTATTTACCAAAGGGTGAGTGTCGAAGGAATGCAATTTTAACTTTTTAAGCAAAATCACGGAAAAACAGTATGTGGAAAATAGTGAGTAATCAGAACTAGTTTACACTGTATTTTGCTGATTCAGATGATAAAATGAGGAAATTGGTCTTATGACTTACTTAATTGTTTTTTGGTTGGTTGGTTGTGGAGAAAACAGCCTCTCAGCTGTCTGTTTAACAGAGCATTTTATCATTTAAATGTGACTTACAACATTCTTTTTTTCTGTCTTAGTGTGCTGCTGTTGATTGTTGCTGCTCTTGCTTCCTACTCTGTATTTCTGCTGCTTAGTATGTGCATTCACAGTGGTAAGTGAAGAAGGATTACAGTTCTTCTAAGGTGCTTTATCACATAAAACAATAGAATGGTCAAGCAAGAAATCTGTTTGAAGTTTGGGAATTTAATTTGAAGAGCTATCTAATTAGTGTCATGAGTGTGACAATGAATGTTTAGTTGTGTTGGATATGTTCTTCAAATTTTCTGTGTTGAAGGTTAAACAAAAACACATAAGGAAAAAATAATCACAGAAGAAGGGCCTGTTTATTGGAAGATGCATGATAATTTTTCATTTGTCAAATCACATTTGTATTGTAGCACGTGTTGACACATGCCTATGGGTATACTGCAAATAGGCTAAGTGTATTGAACATTATTCTTCCCTTGCCCTGGGACGAAGGAGATTCTTGATGATAGGACAAGATAAACTCTTGGGAAATCAGTTTGAAGGGGAGATCAGTTCCTGTAGGCAACGTGTTGAAAGTTTAGTTGAGGCTGAAACCTTATGAGATAGTTAGCAGATTATTAGAAATGCAGCTACCTTATTAGATAATAAGACAAACAATAATCATGTGCAATCAAGTCAATTCTGACTTAAAGCAACCCTTTCCAGGCTTTTATAGGTAGAGAGTACTCAGAAGTGGTTTACCATTCCCTTCTCTTGAGGGCTTCCTGGGTTTCCGTCAAAAATACAGCTTGCCCAAAACCACATAGGCTGGCTTTTCTGAAAGGCACAGTGAAGAATCAAATTCCCAACCTCTGGCTCTCACTGAGCTATCCAATTAGGAAAAAAGAATCTATCTTTAACAGATAAAGATGCCGATTTAGCCTAGCTTCCTGTTCCTCAGCTCTGCCTTTGGAAATTATCTAGCTTTTGTATTGCAATTGGCCATCCAGAAGTAAATTGGTTTTGTTTGGAGGTTAATCTCAGGCACAGAGATTTGGAGAAGTTAGGTCCCTAGAGGAAAAACATGCTATTGCCTTCAAATGTGCAAGGTGCCATTAGTTTGGCCCTTAGAAGGAGGGCCTGTTTATTGGAAGATGAAAGACTGGCTGCCTGAGTGTCATCTTTTTAGATTGATTGTTATGCATCACTGTTTTGACTGTGTTTTTAGCCTTGCTTGCCTTTCCCATTTCTAAGAGGGTATTTGTTTGGTCTTGTTTAATATTTCTATACTTAGTGTGTTTTTAGCTTTAAATACTACCTTTTAATGATGTACACCACCTTTGTATACTCATTGTTTTATTCTTAAATGCTGTAAGCTGCCTTGGAACCTTTTCTAAGGAGAAAGGTGGGGTAAAAATGTTTTAAATAATTAATTAAATAAATAAAATAGTTTGAGCTTGTAAAATCATAGAAAGAGAAACATAGGAGAAATGTAAATACTGACTGCTCGAAGCCAATGAGGAGCAAGACGTTCTTTGTCAAGGCAGGTGTGTGTGTTGTTTCTGCTGTGAATGCCAGGAAAGGTTGATTTGTCCAGTGGGGCAACATGAAACAACAACACCAGAGTTCAGAGCAGTTATTCTTTGAGTAACAGTTCCTAAAATCTGTGTGTGTGGGGATAGCATTAGCTATGTGATTTCTCCAGTGGGGCAACATGAAACAACAACACCAGAGTTCAGAGCAGTTATTCTTTGAGTAACAGTTCCTAAAATCTGTGTGGGGGATAGCATTAGCTATGTTGACGGGCCCTTCAGGATTGCTGCCTTGTTGTGGCGAAGGGGCTGGAGTAATTCAGAGAAGCTATGAGCTATGCCATGCAGGGACACCCGAGACGGACAGGTCATCTTGGAGAGTTCTGACTAAACGCGATCCACCTGGAGCAGGAGGAACTGGCAAGCCACTCCAGTATTTTTTTTTTTCCAAGAAAACCCCATGGACAGAAACAAAAGGCTAAAAGATATGAC